TAAGAGGGCATTATAGTGTTAAAAAGACTACAGACCTTCTTAAAAGAAAATACTACTAGCTGTACCTTTACTATGACGTTTACAAGTACGTTATAAGGTGCGCACTATGCTAGCTAAATAAGATTTAGCGGCATAAGCCTTAGAAGTTGCTAAAACCTTTACTCCTACTTACTTCTCTATAAAGGCACTACTTACTAGACTTTGTTACTAACCTACTAAAGTTAAAAGACTTTATAGGTAGTACTTATAACTTAATCTTAGTACTTATTAACTGCTTCTTAAAGTATGTCTAGTACTTTCCTGTTACTAAGACTATTATAGTAAGAAAACTAGCTACTCTTCTAAAGGAGCAATTTTTTATAAAGATAAGACTACTAAATACTTTTATTTTTAATTATAGTTTAATCTTTACTAGTTAGTTTTAGTTAAACATCTGCTTCTACTTAAAGATTAACTACTAGCTTAGTATAGCTTTCTATCCTTAGACTAATAGGCAAACTAAGCGTTAAAATTAAGAATTAGAGTTATTCTTGTAGTTATACTTAAACTACTAGCAGAACAATTAGTGCAAGCTGCTACTGTACGCAGAGTATGCTTACAACTCTAAGAAACACTCCTCCTATAGCAAATGCCTAATACGCGTAGCGTACAGGGTTACCCTAAAGGGCTTTAACAGGGTTAAGGACGATCATTAGCTCAGGCGCCCGCCCCAGGTATGGGACAAGTCTGGAAAGGCACTAGCCCTGCGGGACCAGGTGGTCGCTTATCTCTTAAGATAGAACAAGCAATAGGAAGCTGCGCGCTTATGCCTTAAGCAGGCGCAGCAGCACTAGGTTAAATAGTACAACACTAAGCATTTAAAGAAGCACTTTAGTGTAGGAGATTAAGTTATCTTAAAGTTAAAGCACATTAAGACATAGTGTCTATTAAAGAAGCTTAATACAATGTACTTAAGACCTTTTAAGGTACTTAAGAAAATTAAGAAGCTAGCATACTAGCTAGACTTACTATAATTAATGTAAAGAATCTATTCTGTCTTCTATGTTTTACTGCTAGAGCAATAGAACAAGCCTCTTTAAAAAAAGCCTTTCTAGCCTAGGCCTGTACATGTCCTAGAGACAGATAGCAGAAACTGCTATAAAGTTAAAGAAATTCTTAAACATAAAGATCTAAAGGTAGGATAATAGTTTTTTATAAAGTAGCTTAAGTAGCTTCTTAAGAACTCTACCTAGAAACTTAAGGAACACTTTAATAACTATAAGGAAGTTCTTTAGGATTATTAGCTTACTTTACGCAATACATTACAACAGAAGCAATAGCTAAACACTACACTTACAGGTACTCTCTAAGGGACAACTGCACTAACTTTAGCACTTACAGTAAAACCTAATGCAATCTAAACTCTGTAACGCAGAAATTACTAAAGGAAGTTAGCACATAAATAAAGAGAGGATAGAGCAATAACTTATACTTCTTACTGCAAAATTTTAACTTTATGCAGCTTGTAAAGTTATAACCTAGAGCAGGGTGTAAATGTCTGTATTAAAGGTACTGTCTAGGGCCCTACTAGACCTAGAGAGGTCCTAGGTGAAGTCTAGACTAGGTATTATCCACATATATAATAGGAACATTTTAAAGATTTCTAAAAACATTGCTAGCTACTCTTTTAGTAGAATAAAGGTTCTGCACGCTTTTAATCTATTTATGCTGTACTAGACTGCTAATTTATAACTAGCAAGCTTACCTTCTTAGCAGCGGGTATATTTAGCCTGTAGTAGTACTACTGTTTCTCCTAGTTAGTTGCGCAGCTGTCCTTAAGAAAAATTACCTTAGACTTAGACTAGATAACAGTATTATTTAGATAGTTCTTACTAATGCTACTAAGACTACTTTAAAACAAAGTTAGCTATAATTTAAATAACCTGCAATACTAAGACATACCTTATACTGCTTATAGTTATGTTTTTAAGAAACCTAACGCTGCTAGGCATACTCTGCTAGCGTAAAGCCCTTAGTCTCACGCTTTAACTACTAGGAGTATGCATTAATATGCTCTCTAAGGGCTAGCGCATATAGGAGGACATCTTTTTAATAGTAAAGCTAAGCCTTAGCATCTAAGTTAAGTTTTTAACTTAAGTTACTTACAGTTTTAACAGCGCATTTATTACAGTTAAGAGCTTAGTTAATATAGTACTAGAGGATATTTCTAGCGCAGCAGAAGTAGGGGTTAAGCTATACAGAGTTAGCATAAACTTAAAAAGCTCTAAAGAGACCTACTTCTACACAGCTACCTGCTTTCCTATTAGCACAGCCTTTATAAACACTAAATAGTGTGCCTTTTAGGCACACGCTAGTGTTTACAGCTATGCAAAGATTAAAAGCTAAGAGCTCCTTACTGCCTTTCTTAGATAATAGCGCAGCAACACAGCTACAGCACTATTTCTAGATAAGTGGTAGCTAAGGCTTTAAGTAAGGCAGGAGCTTATAAACATGCGCAGGAATCTCCTCTTTAGAGCACTAGGCAAGAGATGTAATAGGCATAGTAAAAGAAGACAAGGTTATAACTAGAAGGACTAGTTAAGAAGGAGCTAAAGAGAGAGTAAAAAAAAAAGGTTTAAAAACAGTAAGAATAGTGTTTTATACTTAAACCTACACTTACCTTCTCTACTTTATATAAGGTCTAGAGTTGCCCTAGAGCCTTACTGCCTACAACCTGCTTAGTATAGAATGTTAGAGAGATAAGGAAACACGTAAACAGCTTAAAGAAACTATTACTTATGCTTACACTTAACTAACTAGAAGAGTAACTACTTCTAGTAAATAGCAACACATTAAAAGCATTATCCTTAAGCATTTTGCGCATAGAGATATCTTTAAAGCACTAATTTATTAGTACTTAAGGGAACTAGCAAAACAACTTGCTTATATAGCACTACACCTCCTTATTTAGCACTTGCAACTCTAGACTAGAGCAGCTATAGATTTAGTCTTAGAAGCTTTACAGCGCTAACCTTAGAACTGTCCTAGCAATACATTAAAACTCTAAGCTATTTTAAATAAAATTATAATGTTATAAGCTTACTAATAACTATTTTTCTAACAGAAAAGACCTAGCAATTAACTGCTGCATTTAAGAGAACTACTTGCATAGGAGTAGTGCATCTACAGATGCCTTATAGTACCTACAAGTACTAAAACTAAAACCTTAGGACCTTTAAAAGCAGACCTTAACTAGATAGTAAGAAAGAAAAGTTATAATCTTAGGTTACTTTTATAGAAGTAGGCTTTTTAATTACAGACTATTTACTTTACTTAGCCTCTACAGGCCTATTAGGCTTAACCTAATAAGACAAGAACGCCCTACATTAGCAGCTACAGCGCTAGTAATAATGTTCTAACTCTCTTAGTTATACTTCTTTAGACATAGTTTTCCCTTACTAAGGTTTTCTAGAGTTTAGTTACTAGTAATAAGTACTACCTAGGCGTAACCTGTACAGTCCCCACCGCAGGTCCGCCTAGGGCTAGTCCAAGTTACCATGATATCCTACCTATCCAATCGCAGGATCGAGGACGACCTGCAGAAGGAGGGGGGCCATGTCACGGTCAACTTGGACATGCCTCGGACTCTCCCCGGAGAGCCCTCGGCCCAGCCTTGGGCACATGACGTCCCGTCACGTGCCCCAGCACATATATATATATCTTCTTACGAACCCCTGAGTCTCCTCAAGGATTCGTCTATCAATACTATCCTGTACCCCCTTCTGCGCTTCACGCTTCCTGCTTCACAGTGCTCTCACAGTAAGCTACTAACTATAAGTGCCCTACTATTTAGACAAACAAGGCTAGAACTTTTTAGTTACCTTACCTATAAAGTTACGTAACCTAACAGATAAAGAATAGACAGACTTATTAGGCTAATGCACAGCAGAGTGTAGTATTTAATAAGAGAAGAACATTTAAGCGCTGTAAGCGCTAATAAGCGCTTCTATGTTAGACGCTTATAACAGGCAACAACAATTAGTCTCTAGAACTCTATATATATAGTTTAAATCTTAACTATTATAAAAGAGTTATAATTAAAGTTTAGTTTATTTTAGTCTTTTACTACATAGACTAAGTAGCATTACTACTTTATAATAAAAGTAATACTATTTAAATATCTTACACTATATATTCCTCTATCTTGTTCTACAAGAACTGTTTAACTTAAGCACTTTATACTGCTGTTAAAGAGTAAACTACAGTTAGCTAACCTCTTCTATCCCTTAAGCAAAGGCACAACAGACTGTACACCTGTAGTAGCCTAGCCTCTACTCCCCGCCAATCCCTACTCTCCTCTAGGCTCCGCGTACTCCGGAAAATACCAGATCCCCGGAGTAAAGATTGTAACAAGTTGCTGAAATAAAAGCTTAGTAATCTAAGATATATGTTAGCAGTATATATATAAATCTCTAGTGAAATTTTTTAGAAAATTCTAGTTAGTAGTTCTAGAGATAGCGCTGCTTATTAAGTAGAATTTTATAAGTGTTTCATGTTAGCTAGCTTAGTAGTTTAGCTAGCTTAGTAGTGTAATACGTTATATTTACTTATAAAGTTATTATAGTATTTTAAAATTATTATAAACTAAAATTTATTTAACTAAATAATTGTAAGTAAGCTAACGTGTTTCACTACTAAGCAGGCGGCACTACTAAGCAGGCGGTTTTTGCTTAGCACAACTATCTCCCTTATCTACCTAAGATGTCTTAACAACATAACGTAATACTATCTAATTAAAAAAGCAAAATTAATTTTGCTCTTAAGGCCTATTATACACGCTAAATTTAGAGCCTCTAACGCGCTACTAGTATGTTTAGTATATGTCGGTTGACCTGGGTTCGATCGAACGAACGTACGCCCAAGGGGCGTACCAAGAGGTGAGCAGGCAAAGATCTTCTTGTTATTAACTACTGCCCTCTCTCTTCGTACAAAGAAAGAGGGCTCTTAAGTACACATAGCCCCTAACGCACAGGCCAGATAGCCAACGTTTCAGGCAACCTAATTCAGCCGTACGCGTGTACGGACACAGCTGTACTTACGTACAGACACTAGCAACTTTTTACTTTTGTAGAGTTGCTTGCTTATCCGTACGTTAATCCTACTCCTTCTTCTTCCCCTCCTCCTTGCTCTCCCACTTCCTTTCCCAGAGCTGACCCTTAATACCTCTCCCATTTATAATATCCCCTAGCTTCTCAGCCTGCGTACAATTCGCCTTCCCTCCAGGATAGTGCCCGTGCTCTGCGTAGGCAAGCAATAGCTCTCGCCTAATCGCACAGGGGAGGAGGTTAAAATCGTGCGTTGTCCATCCCTAAAAGTCGTCGTCCCATGGTGTGTACTCCCTTCCAGCCATCTCGTAACGCATGTCAATTAGGATGTATACTGCGTACAAGCATTGTTGTAGTTGTGTAGGGTTTGTATCCATGTTAAGACAATCATCCCCCACAAGGTGAAGGTCCACTTCTCTGCGTAGGACTGTCTCTGATACATGAGTAACCCCTGACAACTCTTTGTATGACCACAGAGGTTCCATGGCTAAGGTGGGGGGTGGGAGGTGTGAGGTGTTGGGGGTGCCCTTCGTGCGGGCAACTAGAGGGGGTATTGGTGGTGGACCGCCTTCGTGCGGGCGGTTGGTCCCTGGGGTGGGGGGGAGGTGTGTTGACTGATTGATCGCCTCTCGTGCAGG